ATATTAAAGTCTATTTTTTATTTTTTTTTTATTACGATTAATGCAAATAAATTACTAACAATTATTATACTACCTATTGCAAGTTTATATTTTTTAGGAAATGAATAGAATGTATTGATGATCTGGTTATAACTGAAATCAAAGGAAACAGTTTTGTTTGCCTTTGGTATTAGGTATTATATATTTTTAATGTGCACTGGGATTTAGTTATTATTATTAATATATATATATATATATATAAATATTTTAAATATGTATTTTTTTTTTATTTTTACAAAATTTTATAGATCAAAAAGTGTTAGAGATTGATTGTCTCTTAGCAACGTGGGTAATTGATTATACCCTCCATGTAATAGTATTATTATTTACACACCATTTCATGCCACCCTTTTAAAAGTGCCATTTTATCATTTTCGCCGTCACGTGACCACGGCCTAAATTAATTTATATATATCAAATCAAAATCAGGGGATTAGTTTCGGGGAATTCATACTATTTTGGAAAGTTTGGAAAAAACGCCTACTAAACTATATATATATATATATATATGTGTGTGTGTGTGTGTATATTATATATGATATGCGAATTCAAAAAAATATAATTATGTATATATACTTTTATACACCTCTTAAAAAGCAAAAAAATCTGAAATGTAATAATAAATTGATTTTGAAATAAATATATCATGAGTTACACTCGACCGACTGTTTAGCTAAAATAATAACAATTATTGGCACCACTTTATTTTAAATTGCACATTAAATTAGTTTATATTTAATATAAGTACGATTTATTGCATTTTACACGAGCTCAGCTAATCCACTTTTGAGCTTAATACATAGAAATCATAGTTTTAATATTATTTCAACAAATATAAAGTAATATTTTATAAATTAAATTAAATACAAAAAATAAAAATGATCCTAGAGGAACAGTTGGAGAAAACGAGAAATGTATTTACAATATAAATTTAKGTCGAAGCGATGATAATATGTTGATTCGGATGAAAATCACACATCGCAGATAATAATAAATAAAAAATTTGGAGGAAAAACAGTAAATCCCTTAAAAATTAATTTAGAACAGGATATTATGCCACTTGGCGTAGAGGTCATACCCGTTTAAACTACTTGGAAAGACATTGGAGTGAGTTCATGTAACGTAATATTACATTTACTATCGTTAAAAGAAACATAATAATAATATGATATATTTTAATAATAATAAGTATTAGAAATAACGTGGATAGTCTTATGAAATATAATTATAATAATTTTAACTACATGTCCACTTAAGTTTTATACAATTAAAAGTCAATAAATATAAACACGTAGTTTTGTATGTATAAAAATTATTTTGTCCAGATCTAAATAAAAATAATTTAATTTAATATACATGCGTTTTTTATTTTTTTGTGAAAGTGAGAGCGTATATAAATCGAATAAGATTGTTGAAGTTTTCAAATTAAAATCTAACACCGGATTTTGTACAACGGTAAGTAAGTATAATATAGGTTATATAATTTTTAACATTATGTACATGAAATACAAATCGAAAATCGTATGTACAGATTGACAACACACAGAAGTTGCATATATTGGGCAAATAATGAATTAAAAACTATAATATTTATTATGGAATGGCCATTTTTCAACACTTGAAGTTTTGGTCCGAAACAGAATAATTTGCAGTGCAAATTGTTTAGTGCTTCGCCATTAGACGGGTTGAATCTTGGAAGACATTTCGTGTAAAATAGATTGTTAATGTTTGGTTCTCATTAGTTATATTGAAACAAGAATCATAAAGTAATAAGTAATTAACTGACGGCGATTAATGTCGCCGTCTGACTGGCGGTGATGTGGGAATACGTGAGTGGTGGGTTCACGGGCGGAGAGTGGAAAATATAACGTTCAAATGTGAAATCGAACACGTGAAATATTACCGCGTACTGCAGTAATGTTGTTGCACAAACAAGTATAATGGCAGCTGAAGTTCACACACATGATATACTATAATAATAATAATAATATAATATTATGTATAATAAACTTGTATAATTCTGGAAATGACGTTATACCGAGTTTAGAAGTCGAAATGCACCCGCCAATAAATTTTAAATATTATCTTGGCATTGCTTTTGAACGATAAACATCCCCTACAACACGCACATGCACACACTATGTTGGTATGTACTCGTATAGTATTATATTATATTACTACAATAGTGTCCGGCTTTCGTAAACATATTATTATTATACTAGGGGGTTTTAAATGTAAGTCCAACGATGTAAGACCGAAAAAAATCCGTAGACAACAATGTTGAGACCGCAAAGTATGGTACAAGAAATCCGCAACAGACAAAAACCATTTCAAATATTTAATAATACGTAATAATAGCATGCTACGATGAGAAAAATCCATGAGCATTTTTCGACTGACCGCATTGATGTTAAAAAAAATAACATGATAATTTTTATCTTATATGGTTTTGAGTTTTAAATATTTCTTTGCAATTGATGACAAAAAAATGTAATCCTAATTATTGTAATAAACTCACGAGAAGAAAAAAAAACTGGGCTCAGAAACAGAGGTCTTGGAATTGACTGAATATTTTGGTTTGAATTTTGTCCGTTTTGTACTTTTGATAGAACTGCTGTATTAAGTGTTTTGTTTTAGAATAATTATGTACAGTAATAATTGTACTATATTTCATAAAATACATAATAACTGGTATGAAGTTTAGACTCTGGAGACTATATTATTATGTTGGAATTACAGGTAAGCACAATATTATTATAGTCGATTACAATAATAGGTATATACTATACAGTCTTATAAATCATAATAATAATAATGTTAATACTAATTATAGTTATATAGTAGTAATAATATCAATAATAATCATTATAATTACCTCGACGGTGAGAAGACAATATTATATCAGATGGGTGTTCACACCCGTTTAATGGGCAACATTCTTGACGGACGATGATCAAGAAAACCAAGGAACAGTAATTATTATTATACATCATTAAAACCCGAAAATATTCCGAATCAGTTTTGCGAAGGGTGTAGGATATGCGATCGGCATACGCGCGGTGATATGTGCATACTAAACAGATATCGTGGGGGATACACATGTGTGATATTCGGACATTTACCGCGTGTAAGGGGGTGTCAGGGGAAATGAATTCGTCACCTACCCGGATGTCCGAAACAACGTTACGCTTCATCGCCGTCTCACCGTTATCGGGTTAACAATATAAGAAAAGAAATTGTCGTTATTGCGACGACGTACCTACCGCGGTAGCAGTCGGGGGGAGGGCGGTGCGGGTGCGTGTAGCGGTGTGGGTGGTGTGTCGTGGGTGTGCCGGCAGCAGTGCATGTCCGATCATATCACCGGTATGTACCCTAGGTTCTTGCGCTGCAGGAACAGGTGGATCTCCGAGAACTTCGGCCGGTCCGAGTCGCCGCGCTTCCAGCACTCGGCCATGATTTCGTACATTTCGCGCGGGCAGCTGGGCGGCGGTTCCGCGTACCTGTGCTTGCCGTTGGCTAGGTACATGTGGTTGGCGTTCTCCACCACCTGTTCGTTGGTCAGCTCCGCCAGTGGCTGATGGCTGCAGAACATCAGTATCTCCCATAGGGTAACCGCGAACGACCAGACGTCGCTTTTCGACGTGTACTTGCCCTGTGAACACAAAACGCGCCCGTTTCCGTGTTATCGTTAAACTGTAATAATAATATCTCCAAATGTACAATCATGATAAATTWTTATTCGATAGTATTATTACGACGTGGATGGGAGGTCAATCGTTGTGTTTAAGCATGAGCTCTCGAACTGCTCCAACTCCGAAAAATCGCGAACTTTGAGAATAATTCATCCTCAAAACATAATACATYGGACTTAAATATATAATATATAATACGACTCCAGAGAATTCAAGTTCAATTAGGTACTCTAGGTACTCTAGAGTAGTGTTTCTTAACGTTTTAGATATCATGRAACACCATTTTTTTTTATGCTGAACCCCTATGAAAATTGTTGTTAAAAATATAACAGTACACAAAACATGGCAATAAACAGTAATTTAAACAATGTACTAAAATACTAAGCACAACAAAATATAATTAAATTATTTATTTATAAATTAGATTATAATTAGGTTTGATTAGATTTATATTAGATTATTTAGATTTCAAAAACAGGAAAAATAATAATAGAATTGGCGTATAAAATATAAATCTTAATGAAATGATTGATCTCTCTCTTGCGAAAACCCCAATATGAATACATTTAGATTTCTATTTTTAATACTTTGATAAAAGCACTTTTGCTAACCCTTAAGTTATCTTTGCAGAAHTCTAGGGTTCAAGAGTCTAGAGTATTATTTTTATTTCCCGTACTTCAGGTAGTATTATAGGCGTATGGTTCTTATCATGTTTRAAATTGAAATACATTTATTAAATTAATTCTAAATTCAAAGTGTTTCGGTGAAAAATGGATTCAAGGTCTAATTCGATCCAAAGCAGTTAAAWAAATAAAATGTCTACTCATCATTATGTTTTACATAATATGGAGGGCGAAGAGTTAGGTTAAACACAAGAGTTTATTTTCTAAGACATAATTTTGAGATACTTGTCAAATCAATGATTTTTATATTTATTTTTAAATCAATTTCTAGGTCATTATTTTATATTTACTATTGTTATTGTCGTAACAAATTAATACATACCATGATAGGCACCTACAAATATTGACGTGTAAGTTTCTCATGTACACAGCARAACCGTGAAAAAAGAACGTGATAAATCTTTAGATGGTTTAAGTGGAATTTTATATTTTTTACTAGATTTGTGTAAAAACTAATTTACAGAAATATTTATAGCTTGAAAATTTAATTATTATTAGAATTTATACATAGTTTTCAATATTTACCTAACTAGAAAATGTTAATAGAAATATAAAACCGTAAAAAATATTAAAAACAATAATTTTAACTAGATTTGTTGTGAGTATAATAAAAATTTTTTATGAATTTAATTCGAAAAATTGTTAATTCATATTTTTAGTACATATATGTTAATACCCAGAAATAAGTATAGCATAACAAGAATAACACGTTATAATTTCCATTTTTGTAATCACGTGTACCTACACCACACACTATTCATTGTACTACTTGTCGTTACACTTATTGCTAAAAACTTAAAAGTTTCTGGTGTACCCTAAAAAACCCTAAGTGCGGAAAAACGTGYATATATTTAAAGGTTGCGGTTACAAGTTAAGTCCTTTACAATCACGGAAGACATTATGTTAGTAAACGCAAAAATAAAATAATAATAAACTATCATAACGTGTATTTCAATATAAAATAATTTTCAAAACGATAAAATCAACTTAATTGTTAGTTATCGGTATTATAGTTCAGAAGTCTACGGTTGCGTTTGGACTGTATTGTGCACATTATTTAAAAAAAAATATTATATACCGTCAAAAATATAAACTCAAATATTTAGACGTGATAGAAATGTATACCATCCCAATCAATACACATTTATTGTTAATATAATCTAACGAAAAAAATTCACATCGTAGTAACTTTACCATCAAATATTCTGTTATTATTACGTGCAATATYCTAAAAGTTGTTGTATTCCACAGGAACGTACTTTAACATTTTAAGTTCTAGATACACAGACTCTGAAGTAATTATTAAATGTATCCGTAGTTTATTAAATAGAGAAGCTAAATTATTAAGACAACCATATAAATATATTCATATTATATAACCCACACTCGTGTGCAACATGGATTTTTTGTGAAAATGATTTACATTCTGTTGAATACATCACAGTCACTTAAATTATATACACGTATACAATATATATATATAACAGGAAGTCTGCAGTGTGTACTTAAGAAGTTGATCTGGACCGAGGATTTCACAAGTCAAAAATAAGGTATATACTGTATATATTTAAGTCGGCTTACATGCAAATACGGTTGAGTAATCAGTAAACAAAGTGAATTCGAAATGACGGGTTACCAGTGGAAAGGGATGCACCTAGATTATATTAGCGTGAAATGTCTGTTATTTTATTATGAGGTCTTGTACACATACACTAGGCAGCCATAAATCAATTGAATGCGTAGATATATCACCGAAAATATATTTAGTCATACGTATTACAGACATTATTTAATGTGCCRATTAATAACAATAATAATAATTGACTTACCAAAAGCAGGCTCTCCCATGACATCCATCTGATCGGCAATCTCGACTTAGTGTCACTAACGTAATAATCCGAATCGTATTGACTGCAGTACAACGCATGATCGGATATCTTTATCGAATAGTTTTTGCCCACCAAGCAATTTCTCGCGGCCAAGTCCCTGTGAACGATCCCCTTACCCTCTAAATGTTTCATGCCCGATGCGATCTGCGTGGCAAAGTACAGCAAGCATCCGTAACTGTGATAAATGAAAAAATAAATAAATTTGAAATCAAACAAACAATTTAACGTTCTAGCAGTAGGTATATTATTATTTTTTAACACAATCTTTTGAGTTAAATATTATACAGATAAAAACAACGTGCATATATATGTAAAAACGATAGGTTTACGATAATATTTGTGGTTCAACATTTTTTAACCTGGATCGTAAATTAATAAATTGGTCTCAATTTGTAGCGACGGATAAGAATTTTTAAATCACTTTTATTTCTCGGCAGAAACAATATAATCCAACCAAATTCAATTTGTGTACATTATAAGATAAAAAATCATTTAACATTTTACTCTATAACCTATTGTTTTCGTAGTTATACATCAGTAAATGTATATGGTTTCATTGYCAATATAMATTTAMAAAACAGTTGGTRAAATCGTTATTTCATATTTAGTTCCTATACGTCGTCTTCTTTCGATRGATTGTGAGTTAAATACTTACACTCAACAATCGKTATATATATTAATTGCCTTTTAAAAGAGTTGAAATATTTCTTAACTAGATAACTTAACCATTTTTATAATTGCCATTATGATGATAAATCTTATCATGTTCATATTTAAGCCTCTTAACTTAATGAAGGTAAAAGACATGTATTGTGTATTTTAATTTTTCTGGCGGCAGAGAACGATAACATTAAATGCACCAATATATCTAATGTGGTGGTGCGAGATATACATAGGTAAATTTATGCCACTTAAAAAAAAAAAAAATGATTTGTTGTCGATAAGCTAACATAATATATTTTAGAACGGGGTGATGTATAAAAACAGYGTATGTATGTCCTTACTTGATTGTCGGATGAGCTTCAGTGGATTCTGTAGTTTGGACCTTCAAGAAACTCGGCAAGTCACCGTATTCGCAATATTCCTGTATAATGCACAGGGGCTCGTCGGGACTGCACACGCCCACGATTCGTGCCAAATTTGGATCCCGGACGGTGTACAAGCACTTTGTCTCCCTCATCACGTCTTGTCTGCAGAAAAATATACAGAAATGTATACAATATATTGATTAGAGACGTACGATTTTTAGAACTCGTATACGATTTGTCGATGGTTATATTATATTTTGTAAATTTATTTTCTATCCATCTCCGAAATGAACATAAAATTGAGTATTCGTAAATCGAATCGTTGACGTAAAAAATAGGTATTGTCAACCAAAATCGAAATATCGTCTTTGTCATATCAATAATTTTTGTATCRGAGGCGCATATAGGCAAATGACAAATAAAATAACTATTTTTTCCCCGTGTTATTACGACGATGGTGTGCGCRAAAGAAATTGTAAATAGAGCACGTTTTCCGATGCGTGGCGTTTAAGGCGGAAAATTGATTTTCGATTCTCACGCGTTCTTATAATAGTAATAATAATAAAAATAATAATACAAGACTCAGGTTGAGAGCGTAGAAAAAAAAAGAAACTGCGGATATAAAGCAAAAATTGTAGTTATGTATATAAACACACACACACACAYAYATATATATATATATATAATTTTTTTTTATTATTCCACTCACTTGTTTTGTTCGCCACAGCCACGCCGAAGCGATTTGACGATCACTTGTCTTTTGTGGAACGTCGATGCGGCATTGTACTCGGGTATCCCGTCCGTTTCGCATAAGTGGATCTATATAATATGGAATTGACAGTTGTTTATTAAATATCATCGTACATTCCAATCACGTTTCACGSGATCGGGAAGTTATCCCACACCGTGTGTATGATGGGTTCACGGGGTTTGTTGGAAACGGTTGGTGTTGGCGGGGGAGGGGGGTAGGGATGGGGTGCGGTCGCGTAGTATGCGCTYACCATTCCGAAATTGCCTTCGCCTAGTTTTTCGATCACTCGCAATCGGTTCCGAGATATCTCGTACAGCGACGTCTGACTGCACTCGTCCTGTTTGTCTTCCGGCAGCTTCATGCACGTGAACACACCCGGYGTGAAGTGCTGCTCTTTGCGTTCCGTCTGCAATAACCGGAGGAAAAAATTAAATAAAAWCTTGGAATACCGTTAGGCGGTGGATTATTCGGAGTCTCTACGGATGTAGAAACGCACTTTGATTATGTCGATGGCCGCGTAGTAGTTGTGCAGATTGGCTGGCAACGATTTGTTCAGCTGTTCGGATTGCTGCTGCAACAACGGCGGTGGTCTGCTGCTGGGTGGTGGTGGCGGGTTCAGCGTGTACATCGAAGGTGACGAATATTTGACGTCGTCTTGCCCGAAACTGCCGACGCTCGTAAAGTCTAAACGAGAACAATGAAATAAAAAGGTATGGCGACGGTCAGACTATATAATAATCATATAGCTGTAGCAGAGATCGAACTGCAAAGACGATAACGACGACTGCTATTAAATAATACTACACAGCGAGGAGCACATTTGAAGTGAAATTGTAAAATGTGTTCCCCGAAATTTCTCTCGACGAAACGAAACGCAATGGACTAGGATATAGTATGATAAATAGACTATGTATATAAGCATTTAAAATAACATGATAATTGATATGTGTCTATTACTCATGACCTACAATTACTAAAGTTTGATAAGTTAATTAAACAACTAACTCAAGTTTGTTGCAATAAGTCAACGTTTAAATCATTCAGTACGGGTTATAAAGAAGTTAAAAAAAATAAATATTTTGTTGGACTGTAAAATATATTAAAGCAAACATGAAGAAATATACTAATTTTAATACAATTAAAATAGATCTTGCCTAATTCAAGATAAGTACAGTCCAACTTTCAATATTGTTATAACTAAAGATTTTGATAAAATACATTCTAATATCGTTTTTTACTGTCCACTTTAATGACAAGGGAATAAACACATGGGTGTGTGTCTACTAAAAAAATATTAAATCATTATATATATTATYAGTCATATCGTGATGAAACAAACCAATAGGTATTAAATTTTTTTGAATTCAATCAACAAGTGCAGTTATACAAAATTATGATTTCAACTCCACGTTAAATTATTTTCAAAGTTGATTACCGAAGGCCAAATCTCTGCAGCTGTGACGTCTAAAAATTATAAATTTTTTACTATTYGCTAGATATAATTCGTTATATTGATGATTATGTTAAAAATAATAATACGACAATAACGATATACTATATTTATTTTTACTATGCATAATTTACGTAATACAATACTGTCGAGTCTCGGTAACTCAAACCTCGACAACTCGAAAATCTCGATACCTCGATTTTTTTTTTAATGCSCCTCGAAGTGTTTTTAACTTTTGTTTGAGGCATGTAACTCGAAAAATACATAAGCSGAATTTATTTCTATTCGCATCGAGATTTGAGTTATCGATGAGACTCGATTGTATTTATAAGCGATCGCGTGAAAGCCACGGGTGATGTGTRTGTCGAGGGTGGGTGTATTTTCGACTTACCCGTGTATTCGCTACTCTTGCTGGTGGTCAACGCTGACACGTCCTTCTTGAACAGGAACGTGGTGGGCGCATAATCGTGATTCTTTCCGGATGGCAACCGCTTGTACGGCTCGTGGTACACGGACGAGTTGTCGCTGTCCTCGGACTCGTGTCCGACGTGACCGCCGACGCGACCACCACCAATGACGCCGCTGCCGACGCCGAGACCGATGCCGATGCCGCCAGACAGCATGGCTCCGCTCCGGCCATACAACGAGGACGACCCGACGGTGGACTTGGACCCTTTCTTCAGGTGCTTCATGTTGATTGACTGCTGCTTGGGCGCCCCGAGCGTGGCCTGTTTGAATTGGAGCAGCGCCACCTTCTGCCGGCCACGTTTCAGCGCCAGCCCGACAGCCACGCCGGCCACCAGCAGCACGGTCATGGCCAGTGACCCCGTGACCAGACCCACATACGTCTGCGTGCTGTTGCCCGGACTGGGTCCTGCGAAAAACGGGTTTACCGTGCAGACAGATAGCTGTAATATCCTGTCACTATTTATTCGACTTGATCGAGTGAGTCTTCGTCGCGGCTCGTAGTGTTATCCACGATAAAAACAAACATTTTAAGTCAACTTATAGGTAAATGAGTCGAGTTCATTAAAAACGGCGGAAAAATTGTGAGTATTGAGTGTTAACAAGTCACATTTAACTTAACTTCTATAATAGGTAGTTTATCATTAACTCGTTAATGATCAGCATTGATGTATAACTCGCTCGGCATACTTATGAGCCCAAAAACTCCATATAAACTTACGCTTAAAATCATATTATCAGAATATTTGTTTTTTATTTTGAATAATTATATTTCGACTCTTAACTTCCGGCGGTGTAATGGCGGTAATGGTTTCTAACTTAAAAATATTTTTTCTCCACAGGATATAACCGAATATGTTGTTAAATACATTTTAAAAATACAATCGTAACTATATTTAAAATTATTAATACAGGATTTCTGAGATTATAACTCAGTGGAAAAATGTTCGGTTTTGAGAAAAAATTCTAGATAAGTAAATCGAACATTGCTTCTAAAAATATTGTCACGGACTTTAGTATAGAGCCCATGGTTACCATAGTTTATTTGCTAACTGTGCCAAGAAAAACATCTAATAAGTTCACTGACCAAGAAATTGATATACCTGTAGAGAGAGGTATATATATAAAAAGATAAAATATCAATATTCCTGTAACTAAAATATACCTTTACACGACACAATTAGTAAAGTATCAGGTAGGTATAGATTACCTACATATTAGGGATAAACATTGATTAAATTTAATCTCAATTTGATAGGTTATACAATTATATTACAGAAACAGTATTATTATTTACAAAAATCATTTATAATAGGTAGTTATTATTCAGCAAACAACAAAGTATCAGAGAAAGCAATATTTTTGGCGTCGAGTACTGTAATTGATATTGCATATACTTATATATATATACTTACTGATTGTTTTTGGTCTTGCTTCATACCAATATATATATATTGTATATTATTTTTTGATCATTGAAAAGTGTAGTTAGAAATTGATGATAAAGTTAGAAATTTTAGATTGACGCTTTATGATTATTTAAGTAATGATACAAGGCATAACATGATTAATGATATTATTTGTGCTCAGAGAAGTGTTCTTTGCCAGGTTGTGCATCGCTTTGTAAATTTGTTCTACGAATTAAAAATATTTAAACTATTCAAATTCATTTATTTATGAATATTTACTTGGTACTTATTATTATTTTTTGTACAAATATAAATTTTTCTGTCTGTTAAAATAGTTTTAGTTAAAGAAAGAGAAATAATAAGAAGGATTTAAGTCACAAGACAAGGTATATTGCAAGGTTTTTAGCCTTAAAAAGACTTCACACATGACATATGATGAATAAACAATTTACAATTTAAAAATACTAAAAACTCACTTTTAAATTATAATACAATAAGAAAACCTATGAAATTGCGTAGATGACCTTACCTTTACATTTTATATAACAGATCGATTATTTTTAATTTTTATAGTAACGGAGGCCAAACTCAAACGTTATCTGCTAAGCGTAAAATTTGCTGTGCTATGCACTTTGTAACATGTAGACAACAAATGTCGGTATTACATCTCTTTAACTAGGTAGTAAATATGAAAATACACCATTGTGGGACTTTATAATTCATTTAGATAAGCATGTTCCTTAAATGTAATTATTTTATCAATGGTAATAATATTATATCATCTATGTTCTTAAAAGTTAWTAGTGTAAMGGAAAATGCAATGTATTTAAATTTTATAAAAACTGTTTAAATTTTAAATTTCATCTTTTAAATTTTTATAGTTTAGTGATCAGGTTAACCAATAATCAGTTTTATCTATCGACTGAAATACCGATACACCACCTCGTGTAACTTCTTATAGTTCACATCGTACACGCGCCTCGGGCTATCAAGTACAGCCACCGGAAACGTATAGCGCGTGATAATATAGTGTCAAGTATAAAACACAGATAAATAAAGTATACCTATATGAATATTAACAGTATTATTGTTAAGTTCGAACGGTTTACCTGTAGTAACTTCCTTCCTCGTGTGCGTCGTATCTCCGCTCTGGCGAAGTTCGTATCCAGTTTCCTTTTGAGTGTAGAACTGCGATAGCAATCCCTCRGTTATGTTCACAGCGACCAATTCTGTAAATGTTCAATAACACCGCAAACGTTATAACATATTATTTTCATCAAAGCAACAACGTTTCCCCTATTATCCATAACTGGTGGTTAATGGATACGTATATTATATAAGAGGGCAAAATCAGGTACCTATGCATGCCGCTATATAGGTAAGCGACGTCCAGTGTGTAGTTTACATATATTACGGTTTGCGTTTCGCAATTAGACTGCCTCAAACTACGGTAAATTTTAATGTCGGGTTGCCTATGGTCATTGTTCGAAAGGACGAGAATTCATGTTTTAATGGAATGTACTCATTAAAGGAGAGCTCGGGGGGCTTAAAAGCATGCCTGTTATTTGCACACGAAACACAAACGCACCTGGTCCCGAAACATAAATTTCAAGTTATGCTGCGTGGATAAAAAAAAATATAATAATAATAAGAAAAAAAGTTTTAGTCCCACGTAGAAGCGGTATTGACTAATGGATGTCTTAATTAACGCCAAATGTTTCAGTTACTGTGCGATGGAAACACAAGGGACGTGAATAGAGTGAAAAGTTTTCAGACACTAATAACTTTTTTTTTATGTTGGAAAACGTTTTTGTTCAATTCTGTAAATGCCAATGGTCAATATTGATGATGTTTTTGTCTGCTGATGAGTCCATATAATATATATATATATATATATATATATATAATATTTACACAGTTAATATGACTGATAAACGCAAAGTTTGTAATAGAAGTTACTGTATCGTTTTTAGGATAAAACTATTAACAGATACCATTAAATATACTTTATAGACAGTTGAAAATAATTATAAATGKAATTTAAAATGATTGGCCATTAGTTGCGTCATAATGTCATGGTATCGAATGAATTCGATATGATATTTTACCGGGACACAAAGATAATAAACAATTGATTTACGGCCAGTCGAAAAACTAATAACATTGATACATATAATATTTATAATATTCGTTTTTTGGACATCAAATAATGTCACCCATCGAAATATTTAAGTAATGGTAGTAGTTAATAAATGATAGCTCGCTCTGAGTGCATGGATGTTATGCTGCTTTTCTGTGTGTACAGCATTTTATCGTATACACTTGAAACGATTACATTTTCTGAAATAATACTACCTATGCGATAAACTAGGACAAAAACATTACAATTTGTCACAATAGGAATAATTCAGAGTAAGTTAAGGGTAGTTATGCACAATATTGAACAACCCATTCTCAAGCTTCAAAAGAGATACATAAATTAATAAACGTCAAAATATTAATTTAAGTTTTGAAACCATAAGGTTATTGTATTCTTATAATAAATTACCAATAAGCATTTCATTTTGTATTATATATTATAATACTAAAATCAATAATTGGTAAATTAATTGACCTCAAGCTCTATGGTTAAGCACATTGGTATAATATATTAGTATAAAATATAAATTGTAGTATTCAAGCCCTTTAAAATATTCCTTCTTGGTAATTAATAATTGTAATATACTAGCACCAATATCATAACTTTGTTTCAGCTTCTTAGTCTTCCACGAGTATTTTAACTAAACACTTGGATTTCTGTTACAAGGAAAACGACAGGGATGGATAAAATTGTGTGCATAAGGAATTTCTGCGGAAAAAATGGAGAATCGTTTGTAGGGGTTYTGTAATGAATGGAAATTCTGTTTTAAACAAATTATGCAAAACGTATGCAACACTTTGTGACCTTTCAACACCCTCCATGGCCATTTTAATGGAAAGGACAAAGGTATTGTGGTCTTGTACCAGGTACACTCAAACGAAATTATGTATCAAAGAACTAAAGTTTGCGATTAACCACAGTATTAATCACGACAATTCGTGATTGGCATCACACGTGAACAAATGTCAAAACCAGAGATCGCAGGTCAACCGTTACTATACATTATTATTGTTATACTGAAATGAATAGATACATGTTATTTTGTTTAGACCGATTAACKTCGGTTGMATGCTAATTGGTGACGATTTTAACAGAAGAAAAAAGTTAAATAGAATTATTAGCTATGTATCAAAATTGATGAGATGATTAAAACTTAGGCATTTTGATTATGGTTTTTTTTTTTATTTCATAGTGCATAAACCACGATTGACGACGACCGAAACAGCATTATCATTTTGCTTGTACGTTATTCAATGTGCATTGATTCAGGGAAATCCTTTGAAATTGGATTCCTTTAGCGCTACATAAAACCACAGTACGGTGGCCACGAAGAATTTCTATTCACTGAAGGATTTAATGGGCTTTTGTGTCTTGACGTATTCGTGTACCTATTATAAAAGTTCATTTTGAATAACGCTTCACTGTAGTTTAAATATTGCCAACGAATCCRACTGGTACACCTTATATATTGCGCTTTTGTTTTAAGGACTATTTATTTCAAAACAACTATACAAATACAATGATTGYGTATGTGTGTGTTYATTATTTATTTTCCAGTATATAATACATTTGACTGTTAAATATAATTTCAAACGATTTAAAAGACTTCAATCAACGAAAATAACATTCGTGTTCCGTAGAATACGTGTATGATATAACTTCGATCGATTTCGTTTAAAACTACGATTTCACAATATTTTTCGCTAGATTAATTCATATTTTTGATCYGGACCGGCGGGTGGGAGTCGGTTGATATTACARCAGTCACCGGTTGTCGGAGAATAGATAAAAATATACTTATACACACAAAMACATACACACACACATGGATATTATTATAATATATGGTGAAAATGTTTTCGATTTATTTATTTTTACCAGGGGAGTATATGGGAATGCACACGGTGGCGGTGTATTCCTACGAAACGTCTCGTATGGAAATAATAGTAAAATGTAACTCGAACTCGATGTTAGTACGAGAGAAAAATGCGGATTGTTATCCTCATGTCGTCGTTGATATGTGACGTGCTCCGAGAGAAGCTCCTTCGTAACGCGTATAATAATATCGCTCAACGTTTACCGATAGCGAACGACCGGAAATTTAAATCGTACCAATATATATTATATACATGACAACGCTTCCACTCATATCCATGCATGGGAGGGTGGTGAATATGTATTATATTATAATAGACCGTACTGCGTTTTGATATTCCTCTCCCCCTACTATTTTTCAATGCATGTCGTGCGCAATTCTTGTTATTTCATCCGGGTGTATGGACGCGTAATGTTCAAGTCTATCTACGGCCATTTCAGCAGTTTAAAAATGGACCTTCGACGAGGAACGCGGTCCTTTTTAAACTTATTTTCGTCAACTCACAAATGTGCGAGACCGTGAGTTTGTAGATTTCACATGAATCGCCTATTAATGAAATGAATAACAAAAACAAACGTAGTGGACAGTCACGTACAATACCGACTGCTTGAGTGTAAATGTGAAGTCGAGGATAAAATAGGATTGGTCATGCACACAAACACATYGATCGTTGTTTTCTGTTATTATGAATTGTTACGGAATAACTTTCGTCCGTATATTATTTCTGTTGACGGTGTGTTGGACTATTATTAAACGGGAAAAAARGTAAATAGTACTTTTTTTTTTCTTTTTGAAACCGGGAACGGGTGGGAACTGTTTAGCACAATACTACCACCCGAACCCTAGGTATATACTGCAGGTAGTATGTGAAGGTAGTACCTGAAGGTAGATGAAAAATTTCATAGTGTTGAATGTAAATTTAACAATACGGACTCGGCCCGCACAATCGAATAAACCATAATTTATCAGTTCTATTGGTATAAACAATAAACTACCTAAGAACTTTAATAWACTCGATAGGTATTGATAAAACATAGTCAATGAAGTTTTGGAGCAGTTGAAACCACAAAATTAATTTAGAGTTCCTGAATACATTTTTTTCACAGTGCTTTGGAAAATTCGGTAATATTAAGATTGTGAAAAATATTCTATATATATAAATAATTGGCATTTATCGAAACCGCTTCATCAAGACTTTAACCAAAGTATCATAATATCTTGTTTATTTAACGACAACTTGGAATTAGATAGTGTATAAATTATAATAATAATACCACGTTGACTTGTAGTAGATACTTGTGCAGATATAACGTGTATGGTTGATAAACGTAAGTAAGTTTGTAGGAACTTAAACTCTAAGTTATAGTAAATTATAGTTTTTGTCTATTCATTAACCCTACTAAGTTCACAAATGCTAGTGATTTATATAGTAAGTTGGTGGTTAAAATGACAAGTGGACTTAAATAATACGCTTTCAAATGAGGATAGAGTGTAGGTTGGTTTATTGATTAGCTAGGTATACAACATATGGCTATTCATGTCATCCTTGTTCAACGTGAGTAGCCAATTAATATAATGCGATGTACTACATTTCATTTATTTCATTTTAGTATTTTTTTTTTTTTAAACTTTGTAAACCGTGAACTCTAAAATTTTTACTTTTGCGATACGTTTTAAAATGTTTTTTCGAAATACCACCCTGAACATGGCGTAATACGAAAAGAATTATTGCGATATATTACCTGAGTGCGTCTCGAAAATTACTTACCAGACTCAAAGGAGACCTCGCTGATGAGTATCCATCGAGCAGAAAAATAGAGACATATCTTGATATACCGACCCACCCTGCTCTTCAGATTGATGGTTATGTTTACAGCGGTGTCCTTAATGGCCTCCGACTTTGTGCTAAACTTTATCGGCCATTCTTGCCATTTGTCCCCGTCCAAGCTGACGTAAATCAATGCCATACTAAACACCTGAAAGGGCAGAAAAATATATGTCGTGTTGAGAAAAAAAAAAAACAATTCCGTAAATCACATAGATACACATTGAATATTGTTTGCATATTATTATTTATGTACACATGCACTCTAATGTACGATGCTTTCACGAAATTAAAACATTTATCTTCATAAAATACTATTTATCGAGTAATAAGGCGAATACTGTTATTTCATCAAGCTCATTATAGTATAGCAAATAAATTAAGTAATTTTTTTCTCGAAAGCCGTACTTTTCATTTTATAAGTTGATCACAATATTATAATTGTTGTTTTTTTGTAAGTAAAAAGTTTCAAATCCTAGTATTAAAAACACAATTGTAATTTTCAAAATTGTATTCGTTGCACGAAATAAGTCCTGTATGATTAGACGATATTATTATAATATTATTTACCCATAATCGTCTTAAAGAGCGTCAAAGTAAAAATATTCATCTATAACCATCTTAAAATCATATTAKAAATATTTATAAATATTTAAATTTAATTAATTTAAACGTTTTACACAAGCTAAATAACTTAAGAAATATAATGAATCTAACTATTTTATTATGTAATATGTTAACAGAAATATTTTCTGATGTAATGTTCATGTTAATGCAACTAAAAAGGCAATGTGTTATCCTTGAACCCTCTTGATATTGTGATTTTCTAAAGAGCATAAAATGTATATAATAGGTATTCATTATTTTAATGATGAATAAAGATTAACGTGTTATTAATTTTTTTTTTCACGCAATCAATAATTTAAATTTATGGTTTTCACTTAGGGTTTCGTTAATTAATTAATTAAAATATTATATATTTAGATTACGAAAACATCAAATGGCGAGTGATTGATTGATCTTGAAATAACAAGTGTTAACGCCAACGTAATGATATCAATTTCCACCATGTCTATACATTATTCATTAATGTGTAATTCGATCTGAAACTAAACGCTTCTAGTTTATATTTACCCAGTTGGGTATTATTACTTACAAATGCAAATAAATAAATAATTCAGTTTGTACAGTCGGTGGAAAAACTGAAATATTAACCATGTTCCCAAAGGCATTTATATAATATACATTATATAGAAACTAACGTGTTAAAAATAAAATATATAAAAACAATTGAGGTGTTCCATTTTCTAAATTGAATAGAGTACAACAGAGTTCAATAGAGAGACATAATATATTATTGGAAGCGTTGGATTTAGAATAACGGTTTATGGATCCATTATTGTCTTTCTTTTATATTGGCAATAAATATAATATTCAAATAGAAGGTTATCTACAAACACCGCCGGTGATCTTGTACTAAACTCAAATTTACAACCCTTGTGGTGAACGTAATAAATACTGAGTTTTGAAAAGTATAGAATATATTATTACGTATACCTATACATGGGTAGGTACATAAAAAAAATGTTCAAAACAATAATAAACAAAGGTAGATTGAATTGTTATAAATGTAATTTAAAAACTAGAAACCCAAATATTATGCAGAAGAACGATTGATCGATGGGGAATAGCATTCGCGATATGGCATTCGTTTTTATTATTTTTGTGTTAAAAATACAATGATAGGTTATAGGGATGTGCTTTTGAACTCTTCTTACCCTCGAGTACCTTGTACAGGAAAAATCGAGATTCTCATTTGAACTCGAACATTTCAAAGAATGGAACTAGACTGACTGCCGATTTGTCTAGTTAGGGGATGATATTAATGTAAGTTTTTATTATTTTAATTTTATTGTTTTACTATAATTAGGTATAATAGTTTATACTAGAAGCTAAATAAAAAAAAGTTTATAATTACGCAAATTTGCTTTAAAATTAAATTTGTAAATTTAAATTTTTTAAAAATTAGAAAAAATATTTAGTTCTTGAGTTTGTGAAGATTTATGTTCGGCCCATTCCTAATATAAATAATGTATAGAACCAATGTAAAATCCTTTATCTTATAAGAAAACATTTTATTCCATGGCATGATTTCTAAAGGGTTAAACGTAGTCATATATTATTATAGTATGTATCGAAATGAACATTTTTAGGYTGTAGATACTACCGAGAAATTCTGAGAGAGGTAGGTATATGCTTTATATATTCGTTTATAAATATGACTAACTTTGAGACTGCGTAGCAAGTACACCTAACTCATAAATCATGAGACGTATGTACTATATAGGATYGCTTTTTGTTTTTTAAGCTAGAAATATATACATAATATTCTTATAAATAATGACAATGCATACAGGTATAAGTTCAATTCGGGAGAATCAAATGCTKTAAATACATATAATTCAGCTGTTTAATTTGTAATATTTGATTGAAAATTTAAATGAAATTAAGTGTTTACTTAATTGTTTTAACTTCCCCATTGTAACATTTTGCTAATAATTTATGAAAATTATCTTTGAAATGAATTAAATTTAAATTATATGTATAATGCAGTATTTTAATGTAGGTATAGTATCTAAATAATATAAAATATGAATTATAAAACAAAAATTATACATTATTTTAACTATAAATCTACTGAAGAACCTATTATAATATTTAAGATTCTCAAAAATCAGTATACTATCAACATTTTAAGTATCTCAACGAATTGGCACATTAATTTCGTGATAGTATTATATAGTCGTAAAGAATTAATATCGAGTTTT